ATCGAGTAGAAGCGATCGTACCAAAGCACCCTTCAAGCTGAGACACAGAGCCTCATCGCCGGCTCAGAAGAAGCCGAACGCCTACGAGCTCTGCTATGGGGCATGCGCCCTGACTACCTCGACAAGCACCTCATCAACTCAATGGACAAGACGCTGCTGGCGATGATGACGGTCTGCAAGAGTCCGGAGCATTCTGGAGCAAGACGAGGGCAGCCAGGGTTGCACAGGGTTGCAGACAAGCACGTAGCTATCGACTTGGGTGCGATCGAGCAGATGATATGGCGCAAGAAAGCTGAGTTGGTCGGAGATCCGCTCCTTACAGATGAGCCTCCTGACGACACCACTACGCAGTAACTCTGGTGAAGTGGAACGATACCTCCGCGATGCCATCGGATGGACTGACGCAGATGAAGAGCGGGCAACTTGATCAAGCAACGCAAAAGGGCATCCTGGAGGTCAGCCACAACAAATTTCTAGCTGCAAAGCGGCTGATGTCAAAGAAAACTTAGGAATGTGAAATCCGTAGTTCAGTCAAGGTTGGACACAGGAGAACGCACATGCGATACAGCTGCATCAGTCGAACATACCGACTCAAGCACTCGCCGTAGCCAGTGCGCGTTCGCATGAAAGTGTCGTGGGTTTTCACTTCGCTAGAAAAATCTTCTGGGATCCCTGGTTGTCGGTTGCACTCCGAGCACAGCACGAATGCGTGCTATGAGTGCCCTTCAGGGATGCTTGCTTGTGGGTTGCACTCCAAGCACAGGCGCAATTGCGTGCTGTGAGCGTCTTCTGGTTGCGGTTTGCACTCCGAGCACGGGCGCGAACGCGTGCTGTGAGTGTCTTCGGTTTTTGGGTTACACAGAATGAGTAACAGATCTTCTTTTTTGCTCCCAAAAATAAGATTACTCTTACCTTTAACAGTTCTTGCCAGCTTCGGAGGGCGATGAAGGCGTCCCGCACTGCGACGATGTGGAATATCTGCCACAAATGTTCCTTCACATCGTCGCAGCATCCACCATCGCCTTAGACCACGTCCATGTGCGGCTAAAACCCCTGCGACTCATGCACCAAGTGGCCCCAGGTCTCCACCCTGCCATCACGGAGACATGCAGCACCCGCCAACTCGCCACCTCAGCCAAATAATGACTCCAAAGCAATCCCAAGCGAAGGAATGCTGCAGCCACGTCGCCAACGACCTTCCGGACATGTCGCTGCAATGCAGCGAGGTAGCCTGACATGGGGGAAACGTTCAATTTGCACATGCTACCTTGTGGAAAGGCCACACCTGGCAGTTGAGCCGCTCCAAGCCGCGGCAGGTGCGGCTTCGCGGCGAGGAGGTTGCGCCGCATCGTGGCCGTGGGTACCGTGTCCCCGAAGGAACCACGGTACCCCTGGGACGCCCAAAAGAGTCGGGCGTCCACGTTGCGGGGAACCTGTTCCACATGCAATGTCCTTCCCTTCCTTGCCCGTCCTTCCCTCAACTCCTTTCCTTTCATTCTTTTATCACGTCCTGCAGTCCCTCCCTCCCCTGCCTGCCTTCTTGCCCTCCTCGGGTCAAGAACCCAGATCATGCCAGCGTAGTGTGAACGCAACTCTTACTCCTGGCCAGGTCTCCTCGCCCGCTCTCCCGGCACTCACCCGGCACCCAACCCAACCCCAGCGAATGCCCTGAGATTCCCTGGACAGCCCGGCTGCGTACTGCATTCTGCAATTTATTGATCTTATTGACGTTGCGAGCCGCGGTAAGCATGCACTGTTTCAGGGGGCTCCGCCATGCAGCAACCCTTTCACACGAAGTTGTCCGGGGGCAGCATCATGAGCATCGTTTGGGCTCCGGGCTTGCCAGGACGCCTGGTGTCTGTCCTCGTGATGTGCGGCGAGTCGAGGCAATAGCGATCGCCATCAACAGAATCATCAACAACAAGAACAACAACAACAACAACAACAACAACAACAACAACAAAACATCAACAGCTCTGCTATGCAGTGCTATGCTATGCTACGTGAGAATGCTGAACATCTGCAGGGCTGGACTCGGACCTCACAGAGCGAAAGACAACCAGGAGACCACCAAGATTGCGGAGGTTGGAAAGGTTGTCCCCAAGAGTTGGCACCGAAACGCCTTCTTGATCTTCTTGCGAGGAGCAGCTTCGTTTCTTCCCCCTAAACTGTGTGTCAACATTATGACTCTGAGCCTATGGGGTTCTTTCGTTGCGAGTATTGGAGATTAGATTGGTGTGTTCGGGCGGTGTTCGCGCAGCTGGCGCCGACGTTTTCGCTCGAGGAGAGTCTCGAGGAGTGGTCACATTTTCGATGAACGTCGTACAATTCCCACAGCAACCTACGGATGAGTAACTTGCGGGGAGTAACTTGCGGGGCCTGTATTCGCCGAATCTACTAGCTGTCACAGCAGAGTAGAGCAGAGCATGTGCACGTGTGAAAATCCAGCCATGCATTTATCGTGCCACCATGGACTCATCCTGTCAGACACCAGAGTCCGAGGATGGGGAACAAAAACCCCTCCCCAGCAAACAACAAGCTTGCAGTGCAGGGCACCAGCCACGAGGAGGTGAAACCGCCGGCAAGGAAGTGCTCCTCCACCATCCGGTTGAGGTAGGAGGCAGCACCACCTCCGCGGTGCGGCTTCCCGATGCCGAAGTACTTGACTTCGGAATCGAGGAGAAATGCCGCACCGATGCCCTTGCCGTCCTGGCCATGTTCCACGCCAGCGAACTACGATACCTATACCGACAGCTCTAAACCAATCCCTAATGCCCTAATGTCGGTTGCACTCCGAGCACAGGCGTGAATGCGTGCTGTGAGTGTCCTGCGGTGATGATTGCTTGTGGGTTGCACTCCGAGCACAGGCGCTATTGCGTGCTATGAGTGTCCTTCAGGGATGCTTGCTTGTGGGTTGCACTCCGAGCACAGGCGCTACTGCGTGCTACGAGTGTCCTTCAGGGATGCTTGCTTGCGGTTTGCACTCCGAGCACAGGCGCGAATGCGTGCTGTGAGTGTTTCTGTAAGAAGGGCGTATCTTCAGCAGGTGCATGCTGTAAGAGCCTGTTGTCATAGAAACTGCTGAGCCTGCTGTCGCGTTCCAACCAAAGCCACCATGGCTCACCCCCACGCACGTCTCATACTTTCCACAGCGAATCAACATGTAAACACATTTAAACATGCTCTTCAAAAGCAACACGTGTTCCTGGAGGATGCCGATGACATGGCATCCGTCGGACAACTGCAGAACCATCTCCTCGAATAGAAGCGTCAACTGCGCAGCTCGCAAATCGCAAACTTACTGAAGTTAAGCCCAGATTAACTCTTTCCTCGCCCACACTGAAGGCTTCCGCCAACCGTGTAGTGCAGCCGGTCTCGCGAGCATCAGAAAGGCTGCGCACCTGCTCGGAAGACTACGTAGCGGTCCGCGAACCCGCACTACAACGATAAAAGAGAAAAGCAAACTGCCAACATGTAACATGCCGCATGCTACTGAGTCACGGTTGTGAACATTGCGGGCAGGATTTGGGGTATGAATGCTCAGCGGCGAGGAAGAGTCAGAGTTGCTCAGCTTGAGCCACAGAGAAGGCAGCGTTCAGGCCAGGATCAGCCGCTCTACTGGAAGTTCAGCGAAACCCCTTTGCAGGTCTGGTGCAATAATACGTCAGAACTAGCAAGTGTTAGCAGCGCTAGCATACAGAACATCGGGCCGCATTTACAGACGGCAATCAAACACAAAGGCAAAGGCAAGCTGCAGGGACCCCGGACCACAAGGAGAGAAATTCAGAAGCAATATACATCGAGGTTCGTCGTTGTCAATTCTGGAGAACCATACGTTGCCGGCACATGGTGGTAGGCCTTTTTGAGCATCACTTTGCCTATCAGTTCATGCGAGATGAACGTTGCGCTTGGAGCTGTAGCCTCTGTGGTGTCGAGGCGTTTCAGCAGCCGCAATTAGCGGCCTGAAACAACTCAGGAGTCACACCTTCCAACCCGATGCCAACAGTGTGTCACGCCTCATCAGCCTGCTTAGCAAGGCATCCAAGTCGAACCACAGACCGTGCACCAGATCATCGCGCCACGGGAAATTGCAAAGCATGGCAACAGCTACGCAGCGGCGACGAAATGGTCCCAGAAAATGGCACTCGTCCAGAACAGCATTGTGCATCGGCTGCCTTTGTGCTTTAGATTTTGGAGAGTTTGGTTTCACTGCACGGGTTAGGATTGAGGACCCCCCGCGCTGATTGGTCCACATAGTCCACATTCCACATGGGTTCGAATGCGAATCTCATCTTTGGGCCTCAATTCCAAACTTCTAGTCCAACAATTCCATTTGGGGATCTTCCTGCCTCCTTCTGCCACTTCCCCAGCCTCTCTACGAAAACTAGCGTGCGCAACAGCGAAAGTGCAAGGCTAGTTATGTGCTGCTAGAAAAAACGATGATCAGAGAATGCAATCTGCGCACACCCTTTTGACCCTCCGGGAGCCGTTTAGAGCTCCAGAGCGAATAACATTAAAGTTTGGCACTTCTGATGTTCAAAAAGCACATTCGAAATAGAGATGCTTCTCAGAAACCACAAGGTTGGGGCATCACGACCCGGAAGATCTTGTCATAGGTCGAGTTTGCAGAAAACGACATGGCACAAAACATGTTTGTCCGGGAACGTGGCCGCACCACCACTTCGGGCCGCGCAGGGAGCTTCTCCGGTGTATGGCTCGTATAATGACAGGCACAGGACGCTCACAAACATTCGCTCTTTCCCCACACCTGCAGGCTCACTCTCCCTCGGCCGGATTCTACTTGTTCTATTTGGGCGTCCTCAGTCTGCCCATCTGCGGCTGCGGCCAAGACCTTCCGGGGTCGAGCCAAGATGTCATCCGTGCGTCAGGCAAGGTCAACTGCTGTATAGCCCTGTGGACTTTATGCCGTGCCTTCGCTGCAGATGTGAGGCGCACGTCGGACGGACCGCTGAAACCGAAGAGCTTGGTAGCCTGCCAATTCACCACCTGGCTTGAAATCGCGCTGCTGCCTTCAGCAACTCGCCTTCCAAAGGCACATTTCGACAGTCACGCAAACACGCTGGAGGGTCCGTCTGGGCTACGCAGCTGTCCAGAAGGCTAACGAAGGCTGACGGTGTCACTGGGAGATCGTCCTGCAAGCTGCTAATGCAGAGGCACAGTAGTAGCCCTGTCAATGACACAACACGTTCTGCCTCTTCGCTGATAGCGGCCCCCTTGACAGCAAGCCCCAGGTTGCTCTGTGGCAGCTCTATACCGGGGAGATGCTTCACACGGCCGTAGAAACCTCGGATGCTTGCTCTGCGGGTCAGATGTGCCTGTGTCGTCTTGCAAATCGCCCGGTTCACAGCTCTCAGCTCACCAAAGCACCTTACGATGCAGCGTCTCCAGGCGTGTAGATGTCGGCACGGGCACGATATCGCTTAATGTCCTTGATGCATTTCTACTGCTGGCTACTGCATCTCACATCTCTCCACGGCCAGGGACTGTGCTTCAGCTCAACTGCTATGATCGATCTGGATACTGTAAGTAAACGCCGGACTCTGGCTACATCAGCATGCAGCATGCACATTGAGTGTATTTGTTTCGAGTTCAACTGCAGATACTGCTGAGAACAGGTCGACATCATACTCTGTGAAGAAGGGCTTACCTAACAATCGGACACTGCAGGATTTTCGAGTGCCTTCGAGCAGACAAGCACTATACAGCATTGACCATTGGTGCCGCAAACACTTTGGGGAGCCAGCCCAAGATACCGTGCACCTCAATCCCGAGCTGTTTTGCCAGCCACCGGCCACTTTGAGGTAGCCTGGCGTTTTGAGGTACCCTCGCGCACAGCATGGCAACAGTCCGAGCCAAGCCACTTGCAGTTCATCAGTGCCTGTACTATCGTCTGCTGGGCTCAGTGCCTGCAGTAGCCCAACAATCTCGTGAGCCGTCAACCCTGATTCCTCTGCATGCTTGCTCTTGTGGCCTCTACGGCTTCAATCACCTCGCCTGCGCTGAGCGCCTCACCTACAAGAACACCAATACTGCACTGGGAAGACTCACGCGCTCGGCAAGATTTGCAGCTTTGGCACCTGTAGGCTCCGAATTCGTGTCTGGCTCCTTGCACAGACATGATAGTAAGACGTGCACTTTCCCGGGAGCAGCGCTGACGCCACTGCGAAACAGCACATGGCGTATCATGCTGCATCATGCCGCATGGCTGCAACCATCATGACCAGCGCAGCACGCCCATCGTTCAGCCTGGTTTTCACGTACACACAACTTGCCAGGCCTTTGGATCGTAGGAAGCGCATGCCATTTTTGCTGCAAACCGACCTGGTCGTGAGCAGAGCGCAAATTGGCACGCAGACCAGGAGGCAGTCGCTTTGCCTCTTGGCAGCTATCGGCACTATCAAGCCAGACTCGGGCACTAGCTGAAGCAGTGGCGATGGCTCTGCTCCGAAGGACCTAGCCAGCACACAGATATGCGACTGGTGGCAGATTCGCCGCAAGAGTAGCTGAGAAAGACGCACGACGACAAGGCTTCCGCTTTGCCTGGATTTTGCTTTGGTGAGTTGCGCTTGGAGAGGGATGCTCTCTGTGGACTCTACGGCCGTGCACCCATGTTGCATCCCCTGACAAAGCTATCGGCACCGAGCTGCCCGGTGCGCCAAGTTCAGGTCGGCCCTCCGGCCGGCTCCAAGCCAAACTATCGGAACACTTCTCTGTAGACTCGTGTGCGACTCGCTTGCATGCTCTATGTAAGGCGGCAACTTCGCGAGTTCATTACTGGGAATGGTTGACGACAGAGTTGCCGCGGTCTACTATCGTGGGCTCGTCTTGATCTGGTCTCATAACAGAATTGTGAATGCAACTCGCGGACAGCCTTCACGAAGATGCCATGGAGATGTGCCCGGAAATACGAGCAATGACAGTTCATACGTTTCGCTCCCTTCTTGATGACTGAGTGAATCCAACAAGGCCCACAGCACTGAAAGTTACCCAGCCACTCTTGCACAGCTTCCCAGAAAGCGCTCTTCGAGTATCGACTTTTGCCCGAGAGAGACGCAAGGAGGCGTTTTTGTCAGACGTGCTTCTGAAGTAAGATGCCGGCTGTTCTCAGGCTGCAGGTCACAGTGGATGACGGAGGCCTAATTAAGGCCCCGGAAAAAGTCGCAAAGGCCCTGAAGGAGAGGCTCGAGCCCGGCCTCGCGCAGGCAGCGCGACAGGCGCGACTCCAGAAGCGCACGAGCTGCGTTTGAACTGTCGAAGGGGTTACAACGAGTTGCACGCGGGAGCCTTGAGAAGCTCTGTGAGAACGCGGATCAAGGCCATGGACCTTGCCGCAGGAAGCGGCCTCTTGAAAAAGAAAGCCAAGAGTGCCAAGTGTTGAGCGTTCTCGAGACCAAGAGCTGCACACACCACGGAATGAATTCTGCTTCAGAACCTATAGAGGTTCACGGACTTCCATAGCAGCGGATGACTTGGGCAAGGCTTAAACCTGCTTCCAAGCGTTGCCTCTTCTGAGGATGCATGGCCGAAGCATGAGCTGCGTGAACTGTGGAATCACCATGGAACTGAGATGCTGGACTGGTGGTGTCGTTGCATTCGGGCTGGTTCCCTGCATGCTGTGGTTTGGCATGGTGGATATGCAAACAGGTTTGGAATGGTGGATATGCAAGCAGGCGCAGACGTCCGCATGCCCGTACCCTGTCGGAGCCTTATTCGCGTGTGTTCGCTACCGATGGAGCTGAGCCCAGGCATCAGCAACTCCGGCGATGGCCCAAGAAACACATGCAAGCAACAGTCCAAGACAATGCAATAAAGTAGGGGTTGCAGTGTTTCGGATTGGAAAGCACGGTTTCAAAGGAATGTGAATTGAGAGCGGTAAGCCGGCAACTGCAAGAGCACCACGGCCGTCCGTCGTCATCCCATCGTCATCGTTATCACTGGGCGCTCGAAAATGTCTGCAGATTCCTGTGGCTAGGTATTTATGTCATATGAGCAAGCAACTTTAAGTTGGAGCTCACCTTCGTGATCACACGTACTTGTACACATGCTATCTATCACGATCTGCGTGCTGCAACTCGACAGGCATGTTCGACACTGTGTCATTTGTCTTGCCAGCGGCGCAAAAGTACATGTTTGTGGAATCACCCTCACCGGTAGGCACAACAAGCAGCACGGGGCCTGTTTAAGAAACGCTGAGGTGAGCCATCGGCGCAGCGAGCGGAGCAGTGGCAAGGGCAACGAGTTCAATCAGTCAAAAGCTCAACATAAACTTGCTTGATCTCTGACTGATCTGGATATCTGTCCAGTGTCAGGCTCGCTTTTGCGTTTCTGTTCCAGTGCACAGCAAGGCGGCAGCATCTGCGCCATGTCTCGGGATTTTGGGGGCCTGCATGACGAGACTCGCAGCTACGCTAGGGAAGTCTCTTTACACCCAACACAAGAACCCCGTAGTTACACACGGCTTCGGGAACCAAAAGCCAGATAAGTCTGCAGAGAACAGCTCGGCTTGCATTGTGCAGGACCGTCCCCCGACTGGCAGCAGATGTTCAGAGCATACGAAGCACAAGGTTTTGTTCGTCCCAAGTGCTTACTACTACATTTGGGTTTGTCAAGCTTGTCTGCAGTGGACGTGTGCGGCACTGTGCCAAACAACTTTCGCATTGCCTAGATCGCGGGCCCACCTTGCACCGACGATGGGGTCCAGGTTTGTTGTTCGTATTTTTCTTGTTTTTGTTCGTATTTTTCGTGGTTTTGGGTTCCGTCGCAAATACTACACATAGAGGTATTCAACTGCAAACACAGTGCTCGCATCATGGGCTCTGCCATGGCCAAACACCTCCGGATCAGGTTTCTAGACCCAGGTGGAGCTTTGGGCTTTGGGGGGTTAACCCTAGCAACTAAAACGATCTAACAGGGTGTTTGGTTTGAAGTGTTGAGCGGTTTTCGGGGCTCCAGCCTAGCGGCTCCTTCGAAGGGCACCTCAGGGCTTTTGAAACGTGGTTTAAGAGGTCATTGGGGATCTGTCTTGTAGGTCAACCTGCCTGCAAACCTCGTTTAACCAATCCAAAAAACCCTTTCTCTGTGCAAGAATTTGCATGAAGTCAAGATGAAGAAGTCAAGGGCCGCCGCTCAGCAGTGGCTCTTGCTTGGAGGACTTCAACCACGGCTCACTGGTTCTCCAAGCGTACCTTCTGGTGGACGGCTGACGCGGTGCCAAAGGGCTTCAACCAAAAACACCAAAATAAGAGAGAGCTTCTTCAATAACTATTATTATTGCAATGTTGAACCTGTTAAGGTAAAGGGGGCCTCGGGTTTTAAAAAGGGCTCCTGATAGGATGGAGATACATGTGGAAGAAGGAGACAAGCAGAACTTCGTAGCAAATCAGAGAGGAATACAGAAGGTTCTGCTGCAGCTCAGTGAAGCCGGCGCCGAGGAAGTGGGACAGAATGGACAAGATGGTTTGCTGCAAGAAAGCGATGGACACCAACACTTTTGCGCTCCAAAATTTGGCGCTTGGCCGAAAGTCGTGCAAATACGTCTCCAGGCTGTGCTCAACAGTGACCACGTTAGAAATGGCAGCAGATGAGGCAACCAGTCCTGCACCTGTCAGATAGGGTGACAGGCCTGGCAATGTTGTGTCATCCGTGAGGCGTACGTAGATGGTGAGCACCATCTTGTATGTTGCTTGCAGGAAACCTTAGCATGATCGTGCTCCTAGGGGTGTAGGGAGCGATAGCACTCATGCTTGGGCTGGCCAAGGATCTCTAGACTTCCCAGAGTTTCGTGCGGATACTTTCTTTGGGGTTTCTTTACGGGAGTTGTGGAAAGCAACAGGATGCCCATCTGGACTTCGCGAAAACAGCAACCTCACCAACATACATGCAATGCGCATTGGTGGTTGTTGTTCCACGGGCACAGAATCGAACGTAGCAACATAGATATAGCTGCAACATGAACATTCCTTCTGCGACTCTACGTTTCCTGACTCCTTGGTCTCGGGGCCCTCAACACCAAGAAGCACACGATCACGAAGCTCATCACCCCTTGCCTGGGCTGGCAGGCTGCGTACGAATGTCCTTCAGCAAGTATATGAGGTATTTCCATGGCTTCATAGGGACAAAGCAACAAGAAGATCCTTAATAACCTACCCGGGCTGCATCGTCAAAGCTTCGACCGTCTGTGTGAGGGTGGAGGCGCCCGAGTCCGAAGTTCTCTTCGTCACTTGCGACATGCAAAGCTGCGCGAAAAGGTACAGCGCGTAGGCTTCGTAGAGATCCGCGGTATCGTAGTTGGAGTCGTAGGCATCCAGGATGAAGGTCCTGCATGTTGTTCTTTATAATCTGTAAAAGGATGCGCGGGAGCCTGGGGCTCATACATACATTAAATAGGTGAATGTCGCTTTGTCGAAAGGAGAACCCAAGGATCTTCTTCGTTTCCCAAGAGGAGTCTGGGGAGCCACACGCGTCCCCAATTTGACAGCCCGTGAAAAGAATCCACATCCGTATCACAGATTTGAAGGCCATGGCACCATATACAGCAGGAAGAGCAATCACCAAGATTGCCTGGGATTCTGTGGCCGAAGGGAGTTCTACGTTGTTGGAGTCTGTTTCCAAGACACTAGAAACTAGAAAACCTGCTCGCAATCACAAGTGGCCCGGTCTTGGTCCACGACCTGTTGTAGCTCGATGCCTCTGATGGCGCTGAAGTGCACGAGAGTGTGGCCGACAGACACCACGAACGTAGCTATGCTGGCCTGAGAGCAAGTGCCCCACAAAAGCCCTACAAAGTGCCCTGGAGCCCAAGAACAAGGAAGCCATTTGTCAACATGGCAAAAGTGTGAGAGCTGGAGCTGGGGCTTCGTTAAACTTTAAGCCAACTTCTAAGGAATCTCACGCCTCTCTCCAACGGGCTGTGAACAGGTCAAGAGTCCTTTTAATCCCCCCTTGATCCCCCTGCAGGCCCAAGGAGGCCCCATAAAGTCCCCGGAACAGCCTCTGCTTTGCTTCTTTAAAAGGAGGAGCCAGCGGGGTGTATGCAGAGACCGAGAAGAGCCATCGGGGAAAGTTCCGCTCTTCCTGGGGCACCGAGTCCGGGAGGTGAAAGGCCCAAACCTGGGCTCCGTTGTAAGGCGCTCTCTCTCTGTCTGCTTGTTTCTTCTTCCCCTGCTTTTTGTTTTTTTTTTTTTTGTGGGGGGGGGGGGGGTTCGAGCACGATGCGAACCAAGGCTCTGCAGGATGACTCTCGGGATATTTGGGGTTTACCTATCGTCTCCATGGTAGCTCCTTTTTTTGGTTTAGGGTTTAGGGTTTAGGGTGCAGGGTAGTTCCTTTTTTTGGTTTAACCAGTTATATATTAAGGATTATATAGGGTATCCCCCAAAAGGAACTAGATACAATGGAGACTATAGGTAGGGTTTCGGGTTTCGGGCCGACTGACACTGAAGGGGGCGTAGCTGGGACGCTTGGGGGCAGGTTGAGGGCTTAGTGCGTTTTCAAGGGTTGGGGTTGAAATCCTTTGGGGCTGAACAGTAACAACCCCATGTGAATGTGATGGTCGGAAAGAAACCCGCTCACATCCCATTTGTGGCTCATCACCTGACCGACACTTTGCGTGTAGCCACTTAAGTCAGCTGCGTTGCGCTACTTAGTTCATTTTTGCTACTTCGTTCTCCAATACCGTGGTTGTCATCCAGATCCTCGACCCCCAAATTGAAATGATCCCAAGCGCCTACGTTATGGCTGAAGCTGGTCCGGGCTTGCAACCCTCTCGCACCACGAAATCCGAAAGCTGCTTTATCCCCTACAGCCTTGACTGCCGACAGACGCGGAGGCAGTACCGCCGTTTTCATGGACATGGCATGTGTCCATCAGTCCAACTCACACCTGAGACAAGGTCGCATCCATGTCGGTTTAGGACGCCAGCAAAAGATGAGGGACCCTAGTGTAAGACATGCCCTGAATACCTGGAACGAGGGTTTGGGGTATATGGTATATCATTCTATGAGTATAAGAGGAACCGTGAGGAGCAGCAGTGGTATGTATCTAAAGCTTCCATATGAGGCCGTACAAGCGTTGAGGCTTTCCATAGGTGTGAATACCCCTGATAAAGAAGGAGGGCACCCTTTCCAGGTAGAGTTAAACAAGTTATGTTATGAAGGGCACGGAAGCTTTGAGCTATGGCATTCATCTGCTTCCTGGGCAATCTGCTCTTTTCTACACGAAGAGCAGATTGAAATGAGCCCTGAACCCTAAACCCTAATCATTTGGTGATTATGATGCCACCAACCCCAAACTCGACAGTTGACAGCACCAAGGGCGAGGGTTGAGGCTGCAGGAGTTAGTTGCTTACCAACGGCCACAAACATCCACCGTTGAGGTTCAGAGTTTTCGGGATGTCGCAGCCTGACTTCACTTTAAGTTTCGAAATTTGATACAACTGAGCTCAGCTTTAAAGCTATGGACGGTGTTGTGAAAATCAATGCAAGACTAGAGACGTTTCCAGGCTGGATTTACGGTCAAGGGGTCTATGCGCCGAGGAGGAAGCGCGCCATCTACAGCATCGGTGGCTTCCTCCAGGCATTCCTTCCGATTTTGGGCTCTAGCTGGGCCCTGCCGAACCTGGGTCTTCAGGTTACGAGTCTGTCGGGTTTTTTTCACCGGAAAGGGTACAGCGCAGGATTTGGTATTTTTAGATTGTGTTCTGACAGCAGAGATACCACACCTCACATAGGTAAGTCACCCACCCCAGCCCGAGAGCCCGAAACTTCAGCCGAAGCAAACCCCCTAACAGCATCTTTCCAAGACCCTTTAGCGGTTACCGTGTTTTTGGCAAGGCCGTGAGGGTTCGGTTCTGGGGCCTTGTTCCTGCGTCTCTAGGCTCACGGATGCCTTTCTTCTTTATCGGGCTCCGCAGGTCTTGGCCTTGTTCCTGTGAGAGAAGGGAAGATAGGACAAGAAGAGGTAATGCAGTCCAATAGTCTCTTGTAATTAGTTAGTATGTCGAAGTCTAAACTCATCTCCATGTGTATGTCTGTGCCCATATCCTCAGTACACAATTATGCCTGTATTTGCATCTGTGTCCACATCGAATCTCTGATGTCTATAACGGAATATCCAATACCTAGCGTCTAAATTCTACTACTTAATGCCCAATACCGAACATCTAGCATCTGCGTCTATATCTATACACCTATATACCCGTATACTTGGATGCCTCGAAATCTGTATACCCACGTGCCTACAGATCTTTAGACCTACGTACCTGCATCTGTATATCTCTGTGTCCATATCTATATAACCACATGGATCCACATAGTGTACCTACGTCTCTCTCTCTCTCTCTTTGTTTCTCTCTCTTTCTCTCTCTCTCTCTATATATATATATATCGATCCATCTGTCGACTTACCTATCGATCTATCTATCGACCTTTCTATCGACCTATCTACCAATCGATGGACCGCTCTATCTACGATCTATGCTTCTACCATCTATCTACCGAGCTACCGATCTATCAATCTGTCGATCAGGCTTTCTATCTCGCTATAGCTGCATCTGTTTGTGTCAACCCTGAATCCCTGAGCCAACAGCTGAGCCACTCGGTAGGCCTTTGGGACATTCTACATTTTCCCTATTGGGGTCGAGGATCTTATGTAGGAATATTCTCAGAGGCTTGGGGGGCCAACCTACTTACAGGATCATGGGACTTAGTAAGTAGGGTTATAACTAAGGTAACTATACTTATAACCCCATTTAGGGGACTTATAACCTTACTTGCTAAGTCCCATGATCCTCCAAGTAGGCCAAGAGAGTTCAGAAGAAACCCTAAACCCTAAACCCCAAACCCTAAACCCTATTCAGAAGAAGCGAAGGTCTCGCAGGAGCTCTGGGTGCTGTGGAGCCCGCAGTACCTCTCCAGGCGCACTTCTACCTTAGCCGACCAAAACCTAAAGCTTCTTTTGTAGAGGGTTTAGGGTTTAGGGGTTTAGGGTTTAGGGTTTAGGGGTATATCAGAATTTACACTCGTACCCTACAGAAATGGTAGGTCAGGGTGGGTTCTTGCTGCAGGGCATCTGGTTGCTTGAGGTTAGCGGTGTAAGGGCGATTTGGGGGCTTAAGTTTGAGGGTATTTCTGGGTGGTGAAAGATCGATTTCTGAGAGCTGCAGCATGAACCCTCATTCCATGTGGGGTGCTAGATGTGCGGATCAGTTTTTGGGGTTTAGAACCCGATATGTCACAAATGATTGTGGAGGCTCTGGTGCGTCTTCGAAATTGCTGCCTTCCGCATCGGCAACGCTAGCGGTCGCATCCGCGTCCTGCCTTTGCCCCCTGCTGCCACAGTATAAACAGAGCACGTTTTCTGCCTAAATCCCTCTAGCAGCCGGATAAAACTGCACGCCTGTGAGTGTTTTTTTGGCTCTGCGCCTCGCAGTTCGTGCATCATATGGTGGGTGAAGAAGGCCTTTATCTTGTCGTCCAGGGTTCCGCCATCCCACGCCGAGAAGCAACAAGCTCTCCCACCAAACCTCTGTGACGATTCGGTCTCCCAGGTTTATGAGCAAGAGTATTGTCATCCTCTACTTCGGCGTCCACCTTGCATCCTGGGCTATCTGGTGTGCGATGGCGTGCCGTGGCCGCGTGCTGAAGTGCCCCAAGGTCATATAAAGGCTGTTGTCGGACGCTCAGAGAATTGGGTTGCACAGGCTTCTGGGTTAGCAGTCTTGGCTTCCGAACGGTGGCTTGGCGTGTTCGATTTTTGTGGCTTCGGAGCCAAATTTAGCCCAGAAGCACGTAGGCAAACACCGCATATACCAGACATACTAAGACTAAGACCAGGCACTGTACCGCTGGAAACCGCAAACTTAGTTTAGGCTGGAATAGCCCCCATCTAGCTCGAAGGAATCGAAGCCCTTGGAGCCCAAAGCCTACGGCTCAAACCCAGTGCAATAAACAAGTCGGCGCAGTAGAAGGAAAGGGCCCGAAAATGTGTGTAGTTCTAGTATTCTTTGGGCTTCCTTACTGTGGATTGTAGGACGATGATGTGCCCCAAAGCCCTGTCCTAATTATCAAGGCCCCCTAATCATTTCAGTGTTGGCTCTTTGATGCTTTTTGTATAGCCCGTATACGAGTATAGCAGAACAGTTTCTTGAGGCTCCGCATGCACTGAACGTGCACAAAAAGGACGGGAAAACCACACCATGAACCTTCGGGTCTAGGAGTCTAGGCTTTGTCTTGGCTTTAGCCCTAAACACCACAAAGCCCAAACCCTACACCCTAAACTCCCCGAGCCCTCCTCTGGCCCCGCCTTGCGTCGAAGTTGCAAGGCTGGGTGTGAACAACCTGTGGATGATCGCGCCCACGATGCTGCCCCTGACAGCTATGGTGCAGAGCCTAAGAAGGCACTGGGCTCAGAGACCTCGAGCTTCTTAAGGATCTCAGTCGTTTTGCCTGTCAGAATAAAGACCGTCACACTTAGTGTCTATCTATACATGTTTATATATGCGAATTACATACACTTATTTTCATGGCCATATATGTGCGTGCACTTACATACGTATGTACGTACACACGTACGCACGCATGCACGCATGTATGTGTATGTATGTAGATGTGTGTGTGTGTGTATGCAGAACTATGTACACAAGTATAAACAAATATAAATGAATGGAAATATATGCACATATATATATATATATGTGTACCATATCTTATGTCTATATGTTGTAGCTATGTGTATGTACACACGACGTGGTCGAGCGCGGGTGCCACAATACAATGCATGTGTGTATATGTATGTACCTATATATATATATATATATATTTATTTATTATAAATCTGCTCACACCCCTCCCCCCATGATCCACCCGAGCTGGCTTTCTGCAAGCAGTGGATCAGGTGGGCAACCTCATGCGAAAACATTGGCAAGGATCAAATTTTCCCCCAAATTCCTGAAGCCTGAAATGCGAAAACACTGGCAGGGATCAAAGTTCCCCAAAATTACCGAAATATGAGCAACTATCTGCCCCCGGCACTCTCCATGGATGCCAGAATTTTAGGAATTTTGGGAAACTTGATCCTTGCCGATGTTTGGGCGTTTCAGGCTTCAGAAACTT